ACATAATAATTTATTATGGTTTTGATTGCAGCTGTTTTTATCTAGAAAGTTCCCTATTCTTGCGTTTCTTTCTAAATGATTTAGTGAAGCTTAATGAAGGTAAAGTAATGATTTTGTGTATTTCCTTACACCAGAATGACTGCCAGCTTTCATATAATTAATAGGCTGTACTGTTTGTATCATGGGTTTCAGGGACCTTTTTTTCTTTGTTTTAACATGTATGACAGCTATATGAGTGTAAAGTTTTCGTTTGAAATAAAAATAAAGATATGAGATATCTGCTATTTTAATATTTAGAATATCCTAGTTTCTGTGTATGTTAATCTTTATGAAATCTTAATGCATTTCTTTGCTAAACTCTGACCTTCTTTATTTAATCAGATTAATTGTCCCTAATAAGACAGAAAAATCCCTACAAAAATCCATTAAGTAGTTAAAAATGAGATGTTTGTGAATTGTAATTTTTCTTATTATCACAAACGAACATGATAATTCCAAGATAATATAATTTTTTTACTGAAAGTTTTATCCAAAAGAATAAGATCAATGAAAACATTAGTCTGATATTATACTAAATGTAATTAACAACTAATTTTGATATATTTATAGAAACAAATCATCAAATTCCATCTACAAACACAAAAGATAATGTAGTTTTCCTATTAAGTATAATATTACAGGAAAAGTCCGATTTCCAGTTTCAACAGAAATGTATACATTTTTGGATAATTTAGTCTGATAGCATGTTGAAAATCAGTAACATCAATCAGTATCTATAGTATTTAGAGAAAACAAACACAAAAACAACATCAGAATCCGTCAATCAAAAATAGAACGATATAGAAATTCTCCCTAATCTCTTCACATAAGTATGGCCATTTTTTGCTAAAGATTTTATCAAAGTATATTTGTTGAATAAATACTTTAACCCAATTAAATACTTAATTTATTATTGAATAGCAAAATCAATAACATCCAAAAAAAAAAGGTAAATTTGTTGGGTTGACAGTAAGCGTACCATCATAAAAGTCCAACTATCATTTTAAGGATTTAACTCAAAATCATGATCGCAAAGTAGAACTTTATCGTTTTTTTCTTACCTAGTAATTCATGATCGTATATAAATCGGTGTAAGAGATGAATTAGACGTGTTTCGGCGCGTGAAAGTGCGAACTTTTAGCATTTAATCAATCAAGCCCCTTGTCCGATATATAACTGAATATGGTAATGATTGTGATGGTCTATTGTTGGTAAGTCTCACTCATCATTTAATATACTTACACCTCAGTACTTTTCTAATCTGCCTTGTTAAAGTATGTACGGATATTATCCAAGGGGCAGAGCAGACTTGGTTTAAGCGGGAAAAGTGGAGGCAAAATGACAAAATGGCCACCGAGTCATGAATATTTACAACACCGTCACGTATTTTCTATAGGCATGTGGATTTTTATGTTATTTTGATTTCGAAAATTAAAATTATTTTGAAAATAGCTAAATAACATAAAAATTGCAAACTCGGTTCGATCGAGTCCGTACATGAGTAAAAATGAACAAGGGCAACTTTGTCGCAAAATACGCCCGTCACATTAGCTTTTGGCGGGTACTTGGGCATTGTAGATATGCATATAGGAGATATGCTCTGGTGAGCATTTGTGCCAAGTAACATGAAAATCCCCCGGTGAATGAAGCAGTGCGGCTTCGAGCAAGCATTTTTCAATTACCTGTAAGTGTGACATTAACGTTTAACATAGAGACCTGGTTTATGCAGGTGACACTGCTTCTTATAGAGGTGAACATTTCTATGAGATTTCATTAGAATCCCTTATGCACGGAGGAAATATGCTCTGGACAAAACATCTATATCTTAAGATCTTTTGCGACCTTGACCTTGCATATATTAACCTAAATTACATGTTTCACACCAGTAGTTATGATAAAGACTAATCGTGTGTCAATAAATGATTACTTAATGGTCTGAATATAATTTTCATATTTTAACTGAACTTTGACCTTATGTGTGACCTTGACCTTGGTCACAGGGACCTTAATTTTGCACGCGACTATCTGCCTTACAATGGCGAACATTTGTGCTAAGCATTATTGAAATCCCTTTATGCATGTATAAGTTTTCCTTCGGACATGCGTACGTCAAAGACATGACCTTTGATCCAGAGAACTGGTTCATGTGCGTACCATATTTTCTAAGAGTGGTGAACATTTCTATGAAGTTTCAAAAACATTCCTCCATGCGTGTAGGAGATATGCTCTGGCCAATGTCTCTATATTTCATCAGCTTGGTGACCTTGACTATCATCTTAGCACATGTTTAGCTTAATCACATTGTTCACACCAGTAGTCATGATAATGAACATTTGTGTTGCAATCCCTCAATAAAAATGGCTTAATGGTCCAAATACACATTTTCATCTTAATTTTAAATCCTATGAGTAACATTGACCTTAGATGCAGGGACCTAAATTTTGCGACACTCCGCCTTACAATGATGAAGATTTGTGCCATGTTTTATTGAAATCCCTTTTCTATAGTAGAAGTTTTGCTCCGGACAAGCGTTTTTCAATGACCTCTAAGTGTGACCTTGACATTTGACCTAGAGACCTGATTTATGTGCAAAACACAGCTTCTTATGGTGGTGAACACTTCTATAAGTTTTATTAAAAATCCACCATGGGGAAACTATAATACGACCCGTTTTTCAAACAACATCTCTCACCCCCCCCCCCAGTACCGGCCCGAGCGGTACTCATTTCCCAACAACAAAAATCGGACTTAATGATCCCGAATGATCAGAAAAACATAATAACACAGAATTGAGTACGGAGCATTTTAAAAGACTGACAAACAGCACTAGACACCAGCCGTTGTGATGTGTAAGTTATGTTTGACAAGATTTAAGTAAGTTAGTTCTGAAATAAGTGTTACTTTTTAAAAAATGAAATTGGAAAAAGATTAGTGCATTTGAATAAAGCAGAATCCGTCTAAGATGATTACTCATGTGCTAAAAACAACTGATCATTTGTCCATAAAAAGAAGAAAAAAACCTTAAATTTTAAATTTCGTCCACTTTTTAGTTTGTACTTTTAGTCTTCTATTCAAAAGACGACCCAAACACAAGTAAGGATAATTTGTTTTGTATCAGGGGGAGATCAAAGATAGCATAGCTAAGTTTTGCAGTCTAGAATGAAATTAAAGAATAGACTTGATGAAAAGGGAAAGAAACAGAATACAGCAGTGTCTTCAGTGTTGTTATATTTTCTTGGTTCTCGGAATAATTTCTTCCAGCACTTAAAGCGTTGAAAATGGCGTTCCGCTTAAGTCGGGGCAAGGGTGGAGGGCTTGAGATATGTTGCACTTTTTAACTTATCCCTCCAGTACAGACTCAATTTAACGAGTCTGCAATTTTTATGTTATTTTGTTATCAATGCTTCCATATTATGATACATTTTAGTGTTTTCGAGTAGTAGCGTCAGAAGCTATACTAATAACGCGTGCTTGTGTTGCAGTTTATATTTTATGACACGTTTCTCAGGTGGACTGTTCCTTTTGTTTAATTATTTTCTTCTTCTTGCAACTACAGTTTAACTATTTTGATAACTTCCTTATTAATTCCATATAGCTAAAGTCTTCAGAGTACCCGTTTTTATACTATAGCCAGAACAGTTGTGATTAATGCTTCCGAGTTCCAGATGTTATTTTCATAAAGCTTTTTCATTAATGGTCTGAAAAACGTACAATAAAAAGAAATACGCACTCGTATTATGGTTGTAAAACAAGACAATTATATGACAACAAAGATCAACAATGCAAAGAAACATTCAGAAAATGCAGCCTCGACACTGGGATTTAGGAGGGCACCGGACTAAAAGCAGCAGAAAGCACAAACGCCGGGACATAGTGGTCGAACAAATACATGATAACAATAGACAACTTAATAAATAAACCCCTAAAATGTCAAAACCATATAAAAACATTTTTTAAAAGCAAGTGATGTAACAAGATTGTATAAAAGTGTCAACGAAATATCTGTGACTAAATATAAATGTGACCTTCGTTGAATCTTTTTGCATTTTTTTTATTTGACTAAAATATAATAAGAATAGGTTCGCAACCAAAAATGCTTAAATACAGGATTTCAACTAGAATGCGCTTGACAGGGTATTTTGTGAATTAAACCTTTATTTGTAACATGCAAATTTAAACATTTAACTGGCTTTGACAGAAACATAGTTTGTTGTGTTTACAAAAGTGCATAATGAGATTAAAAATGCCATGGATTGGTTGTTATTTGTCATGTTTGTTATCTTAAGATATGTACATGATGAGTTTATATTTTTAATAACTTTGTCAAATCAGAAGCTATAAAGCTGAAACCTAAAACCGAGTGTGACATAAAACATTACTCTGAGGAATTTGCATTTTAAAAGACATTCGAAATAAATTAATTACATAATAACATAAAAACCCACTTTCTTGTAGAAAATACGTTACGGTGTTGTAAATATTTATGACTCCGCAGCATAATTCGACAAGGTTAAAAATGTTTATTACGCTTAAAGCAAGTGTGCAACCACTTCACGTCCTGTGACAGGTCCGGCAGAACTTCAAGGGACAAATACAAAGTTCGAGTCGATCGTGACAGGTCCGGCAGAACTTCAAGGGACAAATACAAAGTTCGAGTCGATGAATCGATTTATTATTTAAAAGGTAAATAATTTCATTGTTACCGTTTATAGATGATACTTTGCTATATAGCTTTATCATATTTTAATAATTTTATTACAGAATCAATTTAAAACCTGGAATACTGCAATGTAGAACTTGTTTGACATATTTAACCCTTGGTCTACATAATCAATTCATGTATCTGTGTAGTTTAAGATATGTGTTATACAGATTTTATTTTCTCAAAACACCCTGCCTGGCCCTATGATACATTGTATGCAGAAAACATTTGTTTTAAAAAAAGTATTAAGACTGAAGCATACAGTTTTAAGAATTTTATACAAAGCAAACAGATAAAAATAATGGAAATGTCATGAAGAAAACACCCTTTTTTATCACTTTCTTTGATTTCAATAACGAGTAATCACTGATGTTCTAAAAAAGAATTGTTATTTGCAATTGAGTACCAGCTTTCTTTCCTTTTTTCTAATTTACAATTTTACAATAGAAATGAGCGGACAATTCATTAATAGAAAACTGATGGTAAAAGTTAGTTTGAAACCATTATGTCATCATGTTCAGTGTTCCAATTCACTTTTTTACACCGATACGTTAAAGCAAGCATTTAGAAAATCTCGTATACAAATGCATTTCTTGATTACAATATAGTCTAGAAGCAGCTGTTTTTATAGACATGAAACCGTTCTTGTCATAGCAAAGCACTTTATAATCAGAGAAATTATGTTTCATTTTCGATCACTTCATGAAATTTGAACTTGTTGTCTTGCAAACTGATCTATTCTTTGCTCAGAAGAACGCCAGAAAAGGTTGAATAACCATTGCCAGAAATCGGTCCGGTGTCGTGGTCATACACGACGACTTTAGCTGTATCTGTTGTCTGCATATAGACCATCGCTTGATTGCTTGCTTGAGAGACAACAAGTGATGATCTTCCTGACGGTACGTCTGTTACGACATTTGCGACCTTTCTTGAACTTATTTCTAAACTAACTGCAACTGCTTTACTTGTATTCATGCCACCAATTGTAACGGTGAAGCAATACCATCCTTTGAAATGAGGCTGAAAGACACCAGTTTCCTCGTCATAACTCTTATAGTGGTCGGCGACAGACTTAAATAAAATTGGATCTTCTACTTTGAGATGATCAATGTTCTCATCTAAGCTTGCGTAGAAGAAGACAGCGGCTGTAAGAAAAACAATATTGCATCTATATTTATTAATAGGTTACTGCCCTAATTTCAGAGCACTTTATGTTAAATGTTTCAACAGCACGTTATCTAATTCAAACTTTGAGGAAAACCTTACCTATTAGACTATAGCAAATTAAATAAATAAATAAGTTGCTTATACATAATATATTAAACCATGTTAAAATACCTCCAGGAAAGTAATTTTTTAAGGATCATATATGAGAATGACGACCTGGCTTTCATATTGGAGGCGACTACATGTATTGACACCGTATTGTAGATATTTTAGCCAAAGGCCAGAGAATTATCAGTAACATACTTGAAGAAAAGGCTTAGCGAGAGTAAGATTGTGATCGTCTTCCTACGATTGACCTTACATAATAAACATATTCCTTGCATATTATTATCATTAACAAAAGATTATTTGAAATGACATCCTTTAGCTTATGTCACAAAACATAACTCATATGTTGTTATATTAATAGTAGCTATTGTACCTATGATTTTTAGTTTTTATCTCAGTTTGATAGACGTGTGATTACTTTTAAAATCGTATTCATTTTATGTATATAAGATTCTTTAAAAACTATTACATTTTTTTCCTGGAATACTCTACCGTGTTACATAGTAATTATCAGCTGTATACGCGTTTTCAGTAAAATGAACTTAATGTTTACACCTGACAAAGCTTTTTAAAACATATAAAATTGGTTCTTTTGAAATATTTTTTGTTTATGTTTATAAAAAATATTGCTTGATAATAATCGTATTTCTTTTGAGTACAATGTTGTCTACATCATTTAAGCCTGTGTCACAAGAAGTGTTTCAATTCACCTGTATTACAGAAAAACACAATGTTTCCAAGGAGACGTACTAGTTAAATCAGTAGTGTTTACTTACAAGTTTATGGTTAATCAAATAAAAATATAATTAATAAAAAATGTAACTTATGTGAATACTACTTACGATTCATTGTTTATTCGTTTTATATGAAAATATAATTTATAAAATAATATAAATTATATAAATAATACTTACGATTCATTGTTAGTTCGTTTTCACGTCTTTGCAGGTAAATTCGTTTTCACATCTTTGCAGGTAAATTGACTTCCCTCTCCCTTTTATATCCTTTTAGATCACCGATACGCCCTAAACCTTACTACGCAACGCCTTACCTGTCATGTGATAGTGCATTGCAATCTGAACTCAAGCTTCCTTGTACATGTTAGTGTTTATTATTTGAATTTTAACAATTAAGAACCCCTATGGAAGTGACCAGTTGGAAGCCACCCTTTTTCTAATAAACACTTACAAAATAAACTAACTTCGTGTTTAACCTTATTTGACCCGACTCGAACGCCTAAAGCAAATATTAAGTTGTTTATAATACAATGGGTGGAGTTTAGGTATCGCATTTCATTTATCCGTTATATAAATATCAAAGGTAGGTCTAGTGACAGAGTGCACATTATTTTCATGTTATTTCTTATTTGGTGTAAGGGACACAAGTTTTGTATTACTTTTCAATTTCATAATGTTCCAAAGGGAGACAAATCCCCGGTCTTGTCTGATACTTTTCTAAGGGAGATTTCTCTATAGGTTTTACCTGAATATTTTATTTTTTAATGATGGAGATAAATTAGAAATGTTTGTGGTCAAGTTTTTTATTTCTAGTTGTTAGGTATTTACATTGACAGTTGCTGACTGCTTTTTTTGTTATGCTTTTAAATGTTGGTCTTGTCCATTGATTATGACAGTGTGAATAAGTATAAGTTTCAGAATGACATGTATTTATTAACCTTTTTTTTTATCACTTTTAATATTCAACCTTGCAGTTACTTGTGTGATGGAGAGAATGGGCTGTAATTATATTTGCTGGATGACTTTGACTCATCCTTAAGATGGTAAATTGAATGTGTTGTAATATGTGTTAAATCTTTAAAACTTGTGTAGTTTAATATGCTATGTATGGATGATACGAAACTTAAATAGGACATTTTGATGATTATTTTCTGGATAATATTTGATATGGATAACAATTAATGTACAACGTAACAAGAAATTAACCAAAGAAAATATTATGGTGATGGGAAACACAAGATTGCGCACGAAATGCAGCTCTTTTAAAACCATCACCTTTTGCAGCTCTTAAGGTGAGCTTTTGTGACACTGTGTTGTCTGGCGTCAGTCGCTCGTACGTCCGTGCGTTAACTTATTCATTAAAATGACTCGAATACCGCTTGGCCAAATTTAATGAAACTTGGCAGGCATGTTCCTTGCATGAATTTCTACCAAAGTTTTTCATAAAATTAAATTCTCTGAAAAACTCTGGTTGCCATTGCCACCAAAAGAGTTTATTTTTACAAAATCTTAAACAATCTTCTTGTGAAAATCAAAGTGTAAAGCCATGATATTTGGTATATTATATGATCTAGTGGTCCTCTACAAAGATTATTCAACTAATGACCTTGGGGTAAAAGGGGCCCCGCCTGGGGGATACTCGATTTTCAAAAAAGTCTTTAAAATATTTTAGTCATAAACCACAAGGCTTACATTTATAAAATTTGGTAGGTAACATCATCTAGTGTTTTCTTACACAGATTGTTCAAATTATTCCCCTAGGATCACAAGAGGCCCTGTCAGGGGGCTTATCGGCTTTATATAAAGGGATAAATAGGAAAAATGAAAATCTTCTTGACAAAATCTACAAGGCGTAGAGCCTTGAAGTATGGTATGTAACATTATCTAGTGGTTCTCTTCAAAGATTGTTTAAATTATGCCCTGATCGATTTAAAAATATATTAAAAATCATCTTGTAAAAACTACAAGGCCTACATATTTGATAGGAAACATAATCTAGTGGTCCTCAAAGTATTAATACTGTCAACACTACACTTAATACTCTTTTCTTTGGCAACCCAGATATCTCTAATAAAGATAACGCCACTACTTTCAATTATGCCCATATATACATATCGGAAACAAAACGATATCTCTGATCTACTGGTGAGACATTTTTTTCCTCTTCATCAGATCAATTTTACTATTTATAATGTTGTGTTATTTACAACAACACACAATTCAGTATCTTTCAGCTATTTTTGATTGATATATAGTGTCTTACTTGTTATACGTTGTCGCATCTTTTCATTCTTTTTTTATTTGTATAAAACTTGACACATTACTGAAACACACTTAAAAGGAGATTTTTTTTCAAGACTTAGGCTTTCGTTATAATCCTGTTTCTGAGTATTATATTGCAATATGTAAATGAATTTATTCGGAAAATAAATATGTTTAAACTAACTAATCTCATTTTAATATGTAGTTACGTTTTGTAATGATGTAATAACATAATCAAGATGGATATTAACATCACTGAACTTTACAGCTGTTTAAATTTATTAAAACATTTAAACAAACCCATTATCTACTTGCCTTGCCGGGGCTCGGATAGTTTTGATATCGAATTGCACCGGAACCATCCTTATTATAGTAGCGCTTAATTCTTCTCCTGGACCATAACGGACATACATGTATGTGTTTTTTTATATCAGCTTTTGCCCTTCTTAGTATTGTTTTAATGCTCAGAACTTGAGGACACTTCCATTTGAAATATACTGAAATAATACTGAAACAATATCAAACAAATAGGATAGGAACAATTAGATTGACACGATTGACAGGGAATATACAGCGATGAACTCGAGTATAAAGTAGATCATATAATCAAGAATTCATTTAAGTTTCAATTCAATATAATACAACATTATGAGATGAACATGTTCATGGAGTATAAAAATAAAAGCAAATTGTTCATGAATAATAGAAAAATTTCTAAGACAATAAATATTACAAAATTATAAATACATTGTACATTACACCAGACACGTGATTTGACACTCTCTGTTATAGTTTGATAAATTTCCTGAAAGCACTGTATTCTAAAAAAAATTATGTGGGCAGATTTACTTGTGAAATAACTATATCAATAGTTTTAGTTAATCAAAGAAAGCATGACTAAAGTTTGATATTAGGTCGCATCAATGCACTAAAGGTTTAATTTTTGCAGCGAATGAAGTTAAGTTCGATGGTCCTTTTTTTAGTTTAAATCACTTGAAGTAGTAAAAAGAATAATTATATATTAATCCAACTATCTGGAAATATACGAAAAAGTTTACACAAAAATCATGTGTTCTTAACATTTCAGGGTTTAAACAATTGATCCCCACAGCTTTTGCCACTCTTTATAGCTTTTGAAAACATGATATCTTAATGATAACTTAAGTGCTTCGCAAAACAAAACTTCATTTACTGAAATGATAATGTATATTTAGCTCAGAAACACAATTACTGACGCTCGGGTCATCAATCCAAAACAATTTCATTCCAGCTTTCACATAAGCTACATTGTGTCCGTTTGTCATGGAGACACCACGATGCTGTAATATACAAACGCGTCTGGCCTTGTAATCAAACTCTTGAAAATGGCAAGAACATGACACGCACTTTTTCAATAGTTGCTCAGCCAGCTGCTATGCACTTGCTGATCTGAATCTACTGTAAGCCAATTATATACAGACCTACATGCAAAGGCCGTCAAAAAATTAAGATTTCTAATACCCGTGAAAGCACATTAGTGTAAAACATTTAATTTTAAGTAATCGTTTTTTATAATGCAATGTATATGCAACTTTTGTGCATTCCTTTACAAAAACTTTTTTTAAATTTGAAAATTTGATCATTGGTTTGGATGCCTCTTATACTGGTTTCATTGGTGCTGGATCACATTCACTTCTATTAATTTTCTTTTATTAAACTAAAGGAATTCTGCTTAAGAGTATTGCACTTTCCACAAATCTAGAAGACATAAGGTCTCCTTCGCAATGATATTTGCAGAACAGCTTTTATTTTTACTTGACTGAATCATCTGTCTTGTTTTTGACGGTTTCAGGTGGTCACTCGGAAACCTTTTTAAAACGTAATCTGATTTCTTTCATAAGGAATGGTTTGATAAATGAGCAGCATATCGGAATGATAATACTATGCTCTTAGATTTTCTAAATGCTTTCATAGTTAATTAATGCATGCACTGGGGGATCATAATAGATAGTGTATTCTCTGCTGTACATCGGTATGTTCCTTAAGTACACCCAACTGATCCTCTCTAATATGTGTGATAGGATGTTCTCTGTTGCACATCTGTATGATCACCAAATACATCAATTTGATCCCTTCTTGTATGTTTGAAAGGATGTTCTCTGCTGTACATTTTTCATGCTCCCTTAATACATCCATTTGATCCCCTATTATTTGCTTGATAATGTATATGTATTATCTAAAACTTCTTGCTCACTTTAATATGTGTTTACCAATATTCTATATGGTACCGTACAGAAAGTATTTATATTAAATGCGTTTATGTCTTGTAATCATTTTTAAAAAAATTGCACATGTAAAAGTAAACAAAAGTTTGAATCAAAGTCAAAATGTAATGAAACATAAAAGTAAAACATCATAAACTGTATTAACTTAGTCATTTGGGATTATTATTTTTTTGCAAGTATCCCTATTTTTCTGTCAAGCAAACCTGTAACATTTTTGCCTATCATTCGGTGTCGTATCATTTATGTCGGGGGCATCCATGTTTGTAAGTCACATTTGTGCTTGTTTGTTGTGTTTTATATATTAATGAGGGGCTTTAAATATCCTTTTCAGATATCGCAATTGTTTTAATATTAGATCATTCGCTTACCCCCAATTGTAAAAAAGGCTCAATACAGAAAGCGTTCAAACGCTTTCACTGAAAAAAAATAGATAGATACAGAATCCATAAAAATACTACTAGCACAACAATAATGTCGTGCTTAACGATCTTCAAAGATCGAAAATGTAACATCATTGATTAAATGTACGGGGAGACTTTTTACAGCCGCCACACGGCACAAATAACACGGATGTGACCATAAAATAGATAAATACAGAATCCCTAAAGAAAGCCCAACACGACAAAATTGAAAATGTTGCAGGCTCGGTTTGATTGAGCCTGTTCATGGACGGTACTGGAAAGTGCAAGTTACCGTCCACGCCCCCTAGCACCGGCTTAAGCAGAATTCAACATTTAAACATGAAATAGTAAAAGTACATGAAATAGTAAAAGTAGTATAGAAATAGTATTGAAGTCGGGCT